AGGTACCGCCAATTGGTTAGACATCGCATCATGTGCCTTGCAACTTATATTTACTATTTATATCCATCATACTCCATCAAATGTGCAATAATCTCAATTATGAACTCAATTTGGTTTCACTTCTTGCAATTTGTGTTTTACATTTAATATTAGCTGTTGTTTTGGATATATTTATGTGTGTAGTATTATATTATTGTAACATCTGTTTTTATTATGTATGTTTATATTTATTGAAATTAAAATGTTTCTGCCATATATCTCCCTTTTTGGACAATAAAGAAATCTTTGAATCTTGAATCATCTTAAATCATATACGAAATACGAAGAACTTTATTGCAATCTCTCATTCAAAAAGGGGAGAAAAAACATTACAAAACAACATCACAAACCCACTAAACACATAAATAATCTACAATAAGGCATACAATTAATTAGGATGATTAAGTAAAAAATTCAAGTACAAAAATAAATAATTAACGTTGTTATGCAAATAGTACAGGTGCACTGGCTCTGCCAGAAAAAAATTAATTGATAAACTACATACTTTACTTTCCTTCAGCAAGTTCATTTGGGAACCACATTTACTTTTTTAGTAATTTATGATCAATTACGTCAAAACATTTTGATATATTAGTAAAGCACTTGGCTATCATTTTGCAGTCATTTATAGAAATCTAGTCAATTCTAAATTACCGTACATGCTGGAGGCATTAAGTTAAGTAGTTCTTCCAAAAAAGCATATTGTTTGACATTATGCGATCATTTTCAGTGATCTTGGACTTTCTACAATCTTTTCTACAATCTTTGCTATTTAGCATAACTACTGAGATTGATCTACAGACATAAACAGTTTCTTGGTTTCAAAATAAAATGTACAGCATTATAGCAATGAATTGAGATAGTATTAATAATATAATTGAAAATGCAAGGGTATCAAAACATTTAAATAATAATTACAAGACTTATTAAAAAATTATTAAATTACATTTTTAACATTTAGATTTAAAAGAAAATTAGTGAAATAATTTGTAGTTACACCAACATTTCCAGTCTGAAAATGTAATTGTACAGTTGTCCATTATAACATTTTGTGTTATTTTGTATTCAATCCAATACTTCAAATATCAAAACATAATACAAGTATTACATGAAAATATAATTTGATCAATGTATTCAGGCATTTACTTATTAATTGCATTGTCAGCAATTATAGTTGAGATGTTTTATTTGTAACAATTACAGCTTCTATCTACTGTATAAAGCATACTGATTTGGCAGTAACTCATACATAAGCTGGTACAGCAAACATTTTAGTATAAATAAAATTTATTCCAAATTTCCATTAATCCACCTAACAAAGTATGAGATTTAGAGGTATCTTCTTTCTTTCATTCTTTCTTTCTTTCTTTCTTCATTTATTACCCATTTTTTACACAATAATAATTCAATAACAATAAATAATAAAAATAGCAAATGGCTAGAAAATAGCATGCGCCCTAATGATCGAATCTAGCTCCCAGTCTTAAACCAAAATATATATTGTGGCGACTTATTGAACAAGTTGTAGTATTTATCTAAACCACTTTCAATTTCGAACAGGCTCCGTGTCATGGGTCTACATTTTTTAATTTATATATTACAAAATGTGTTGATGTCCTTTAACCAAGGTCACTTTGCTCAACAAGGAAAGTGTATCGTGATCATTTATGATGTGCCCATGATAGTATTAAATACACAACACTGGTTAATAATATAATTTATAAGTCAATTGTGACACCATCACAGCAACTCCCAATGTTATTTTCCTATCCCCAACCGTTTGCTTGATCTTTTTTAGATTTGCGTGCAAAAGGCTAATTAATTCAATCGCCATATCGTGCACTGCAATGAATTCTAGGCTGGTTTTTTAACACCTAGAACTACAACACATACAGTACTTGCAGAAAGAGAGGGCAAACACTCGCCCAATCGAGTGGTAATTGAAAAAATGACATTTGTAAAAGTTAAGCAAGGTAAATTAGGACCCGAATGAAAGTCACTTTAGATTTAATATTTTGTATGAAAAATTAAGGAATTCCTTGAATCAATGGACCCTAATAAACTAAAGAAGCTGAAAATTTAATAAGAATATTTGAGGCTTCTAGATTTCAAAGACGCAGGGAACAAATTTAAATGTAGGAAGTGATTACGCTACACTCTAAAAAATAGGTGGTGAATATTTCCTGGTCTATTTTACCAATGCTCCTGGTTATTAACGCTAACCAAAATAATGTTAAAATCCTACTCAACACAGAATCTGGTGAAGATATACTCATCTCATTTCTGATTGGTTTATGAATATGTGACGTCTTAAGTGACAGCGTTTGTTAGCCATTTTATTGTTCGCGCTCAAAGTTTTCATCACGACGACGCGGTAAACTTGATGTCCGATTGATTGTTGTTCAAAGTGGTTATTCTTGTTTTAAAATGACGAGCTATGTATCGGAAAAACTTGAGGAGTGGAATCTTCAAAGTTTGAAAGAGAATTCAGATCGACACTAGGCCCTAACCTTCTACACTAGGCTTAGAATTGGAATATGAAAAGGTAGGTAGGGCCTAGGCAGGATAATAGTTGGTCCAGGGAGTCGTTCCAACTCCTGGT